AGGCAGACAGATAACATAAAGACTAATATTTGAAAAAAAAGATGGGGGAAAAAAAGAAGAAAAATGTTCGTAGTGTATGTTAGTGTAGCAGTGATCTAAATATATGAAGGCTGTATTCATGATTCAGATCTCGACTATTGCTCAACTTGTATTTTCACAATCTGCTCAGGGTCAGACATTTTATTCAAACAGGCCTCGGGCACATGGTGCAGGTTATACGTTGTTACAACTGGAGTCCATGTTCAGAAATGTCAGGAACTTTTAAAATGCTGCCAGCTGGGAGAGTCTTCTTCTTCAGTACAAGTAACTCTGCTATGGGAACTCTAAGACCCTTGAGGCAATCTTCGTGGTGACAAGCGACGACTTCACCTGACCAAAGCTTTGAACATCGCTCACCTGAATATGTGCATTTATGCCATTGATAGTCCCTGGGCATGTGTATTACTGGCGGCTCGTGGCCCAGAGCATGTATATCAGTGACCGTTACCTAATCCAGCGACCGGCAGTTTTATCATACACCGATATCAGTATGGGCGAGGTTTGATGATCCCGGAGGACCGACAAAGGCATTGCTATGACTTCCCCAATGGGAATGAAGGCGGCTTTTAGGTCCGGGCGAGAATCACACAGAGACCGAATATGAATTTGGATGGAGAGAAACAGAAGGGGAGAACAGCCTGAAACGCTTTGGTTAGATTTTTACGATAGTTGTGAATTTTTTTTTTTTTTTTTTTGGAATCATTGTTGGGTGTTTATTGTATGTAACAGTAAGGTTTTTAGTAACTGGGTAGTTAATTAGTTTACGCTAGTTTGTGTAGCATTGTAAATATGTATCGGTAGGCATTTACAACAGTAAAGTAGAATTTATAAATCGTTCTTCGTGTTATTTTTCTGTGGTATTCATTGCGTGCGTTTCCAGTATACGTTCCAGCCAAGCCCTTCAAGTAAGACTGCTAGTATATAAATCATGTCGCGGGCAACTCTCACTGCTGGCGCGTTTTTGCCGCTTTAATTGCATTGCTAATGAATTTTGGAGTTTTGGTTCTTTGTAACTGGAGTTAGAAATATATTATTCATGTTTTTAGAAACGAACTGATGAAATCCCAGTGGGGCGATTTAACCGAGATGTTTTAAAGCACATCACCATTTATCACATTTCATATAAAGCGTCATTATACGAACTCTGTATGCTAAAATATACCCCGCTAGTTTACACTTACTGGAGCAAATGACGCATCGATTCCTCTATGGGTTGTGTTTCAAAGAATTCGTTGATATTCCTTTCTCTATTAAAGAAAGAAAGGAGGAATCCAAAACAGTACGATTTGAGCATGTTGCAGCATGTGTATGTTTAGAAGAGACTGAATACCTCAACGGGAACGTCACGAACAAACCTACTAGCTCCAATATCTAAGTTTACCTCATCACCAAATAAGAAAATATTCTCGAGAGCAAAACACCGTTACCCCGCTTCTCCTTATACTCTTACGCCCTCCAGCGTACTTGAGATCTACTCAAAGTCAACGTGGACTATTGGCTGTCTGTAACATATCTGGAAACGGTTCCCGGTGAGATATTTCCTGGTTAGGTTCAGGTTAAAACAAACAACCGAACGCCCCTAGACATTTCCCCTGACTTTAATATATTGGATGTAACTGGGAGTTTGTACCCTATATTTCAGAGGTCCTTGGAACCTTATCGCTTTACGAATTAGAAATGGCAAGGGCATCCTGATGGTTTTGAAAGGGGGGTTTCTATGGACCTGTGGAACGCAGGGTGGGTGTTTGCCGCACGTGGTGATGCTACAAACCATGTTAACCACATCGTCTGTTACGTGTGAAGTTTTTGTATGGAAAGAATTTAGTAAAGAAGTGACGGAAACGTGGAACAAATTTGCACACAGTTTGGAAGTTCATATATAACTGGCAAATAGGTTTGTGTATACCTTCTTTGAACACTGCCACCAGATATCGGTGTGTGTTGTAATGAACAGGATAAACATTCCACCAATATCCCCGTCTTAGTTTAAGTACAAAATTATTTCAACAATTTTTTCTGGAAAGGAGAGGAAAGGAGTAAAGAAAAAGAAAAAGAAAAATATATTATTGAGATGAAAGGGCATACTTTACCTCCGGAGTACCCTACCAGCGTGCACGAACCATATAAGATATAGGCACGAGTTAAGGCTATTTATGTGTTATGTAATGCGAGTCTGCTTAAGCAGTCGAGAAAGAAAAAGCAAGGTAACGGAAAAAACGCGCAAATTGCGTTGTCCCAGACAATAAAAATCTTGGCATTCTCACGCATCTTGTAACGTGCATCTGTCCGCGGAATTCAAGGGAGCATTCGTAGACGTGACTTAATCCTCTCACATAAGCCTCTTTTCAGAAAAAATATCAGATAAGTTAGCAGTCTGAATATTAGTGTATCCTTGAATACAATCGATTTATTCATCTGGAGAGGCTGCCAGAGTTATACATGAGCTATTTGAAAGATAATAAGGCCACGAGTTCTGGTGCCTAGGGACCGCAGCTTATTTGCCCCGTTTTATCCATGCCTGATGGCAGGGGGTAAAACACGTGTCACGGTTATTAGGTATTGGAAGTATGGGGTAATGAACCCGCAGGGGCGTAACCAGACCTTTAAAAATTGTACGCACAGATTTCGAAAATTCCCAGGTACGATTATATTCCTTGAAAAATACACTGAATTAATGGAGAATAATATCATGGTTGGCTCAAAAAATTGTACGCACAGTGCATCCGTGCGTATGCCTGGTTACGCCCCTGAACCCCATCCTTTTCTCCCTCTCTCTCTCTACAGAAATTGTGTGGGTGTGTGTGTGTGTGTGTGTGTGTGAGAGAGAGAGAGAGAGAGAGAGAGAGAGAGAGAGAGAGAGAGGCTCTTTAATGGAAGATGAGAATAAATTTAGGCGGTCCCTTCTGTTGAAATATCCAAAATTTTTAAAATGGACTTGTTAATACTTAATCGTTTATAATCTAATTCAAATTAACCGAGAAAAAAGTTTAAATGGCGAGTGACAACGTTTATTCTGAATGAAAAATAAGTGATATGAGGACGGTAGAGCAAATATCTCGCCCTCTGCAAAATGTCGATTCTATTCGTCAGTACCCAATGCCTTGCGAGGCTGTGGTTTTTTATTTACGCGCATCACTGTCGCTGTTGCCAGGATTGCGGCAAATGAACTATAAGAAATGAATATTTGCGACCCTACAAACAGAAGTAAACCGATTGAGCCGCTTCTGATGTCTGCATCACCAAAAGGAATGATATCGCCTTTACTTCGTCAATGAGCGCAAGGACTTATCAGACATCATGCATGATGGGTCCAAGATCAGGGCGAATTTTGCCCAAAACTGCTGTTCTGTTGGTGTGGCGATTTTTTCTCTTATTTACGAGCCTATCTGAAATATGATTATTTTAATTAAAACAGTTTATTACAGTCAGCACGTTTGACGTCATTATCAAAATGATACTTTTTACCTTTCATGTCAACAGGATGGAATTACCTAATCCCTGTTCGTAACAAGAGACAGGCAATTAGCAGAAACATTAGAAGCTTTGTAAAAATGGCCTTGACCATTGATTTTGAAAAGGAAGATTCATTTACCAAGAGTAGACAAACACTTCACCGTTATATAACAATGTGAGGCAAAATTACGTAGGTATGATGATTACAATTTGCAATGGAGATGTTTTTTTGGATTCCAAGAAATCTGAGATGTTGATGACGCACAAGAAATACAGTTGACGCATACGAGTTGTTTCAGCGCAAAAATAAATAAATAAATAAATTCCTAATTCCGTATTTTATCATACACCTGATTCACGTTAATGTTACAGTTAAATATTAACTTAATTTTCAAATACAAATTTATCTTTTAAGCTGTGTGACATATTGTACATGTGTATTTAATGTATTTATTAATATTTTGATTTTATATCTATTTCATCTCTTTTCTAATTTAAACAATCAGTGATATGTATTAATGGACTAAAGACAGATATATTCAAAGCCAAAGAATTCCCTGATACACAACTATTTGTACCTTGAATTTCAATTTCATATTATGAATATTAAAAGCTTTGCATCACCAATGTGCATCACCCAGATATAAAAATCACATAACATTAACTTTTATTTATTAACTGTCAGTATATCCAAAATGCAGTGAATAGATAATATTTTCCCCAAAATGTATTTATCATATAGGCTTACTATTGACAGGTGAGACATTAGCAGTGTTATTCTCAAAATTGATGGAAATATATAGAGATTTTCCCATATATTATAAAAGCAGTGTTGTCTGGAGAAGGTTGAAAAATATATTCTTATGTTTTAAATGCTTAAACCCTTTTCTGATGCAGTCATCAATTCTTTAAATATCTATATTGTGTTGTGCATGTCCATGTATTTGTTGTGACAGCTTGCTGAGAAAGACAGACTTACATTTGCAGTATGAAATTCATGATTGATAAATACATCTGTGCATGTGACATATATGACACCATGTACTAGTTGTCCAGAACATTAAAATTGTAAGAAAAAAGTATGAAGAAAGGACTTGCTGGCGTTGACCAGGTCTCATGGGCCACTTAAGGTTGAAAACCGATGAGAAAAAAATTGGGTTTTTGATGTAAATATAAAGAAATGCCAACATAACAATCATACTGGAATAGTAAATGAAATATGGTGTAATAAAGTCCATTTTTTAAATAATACAATGAAAGTTGCATGAAAAATATGTAATATTTGGTTTTTCTTCACTAAATAAGAGATGAATAACAAAGTACTAAATTTAGTAAAAATCCAGTATAGCTATCAGCATAATGCTTTGCTTCACCATCCAAAAATTCCTAATTGTAAGCAAAAATTTAATATGGTTTATTCCATTCCTTCAACTGGATATAAAAGGAAAACTGAATGAAAAAACAAACAAACAAACAAACAAACAAGCAAACACTCTGGTTTAGTAAACACCCAGTTTATTTTAAAAATAATCCCCAATGTTCTGTGACACCATCCAGGAAACTCCAAATTTTAAGGTAAAAACTCTAACAAAGTAGAAGTCTGTACAACCCAAGAGCAATCCAGGTGAAAAAAACAACTTACTTCCAAGAACCTGGAGAAATGCCATCAAAACATGATAAGTGAGATGAATGGCAAGATTACAGTCATCACTCATTTCTTTCTACAGAAAAAAAAACAGATAATCAATTGTTCTTCTTACTGATAGCCTTTCTTAAAGTATTCCTTGTTTGAATGAGAAAACATATCACCAGATTTGTCCAATTCAGATATTTATCAACAGTTCAATATCAATTTCAATAGGTCATGGCTTCTTCATACTTAATGATAGCACGGGTTATAAACAATCACTATTCTAATTATTAAATAATCACCTGTTGGCAGATTTATTTCCTTGCTGATTAGAAAAATAATACTTCATTTGTGACTGTTTTGGCAACCAAGTCCTCCCTAGATACAAACTTAACAATCATTCTTAACAAGAACAACATTTTGATTTGATTCTTTTTTTTTTCATATTTGGCAACATTCTGGTGAATAAGAATAACAACAACCAATTTTAATTTGGAAATACACATACATAATGTGCAAGCAATGTTAGAACCAAGAGAACAAGTAACTGAATCCTTAATTTCCATTAAGTCCTTAATTTCCATTCTATTCTGATCTGGTAATCTCATACTGAAACCAAATTGAATGCAAACAGAACTGAGAGAATTCATTAAAATGAAGATCCTTGCTGTCCCTACAAAAATATGACTGTCACTTCTCTTCTCCATTATCTTACCTATCTCACTCTTTTATTATTACTCTGAATCTTGGTTGCATTGGTTGTTTCACCATGTTATCCATGGCAGAGGTAAACCAAGAAGGAAATAAAAACTATTCTCACTGGAATCTGAATATATATTAACAACCTTTCCTTCTGCTCATCTTAAACTAAAACTCAATTCCTGTTTTGATGACCTCTTTCCTTCTGTTCATCTTGAAGCTAAAAACCAACTGCAGTTCTGTCAGATGTGACAGTTCATAAAACATTGCAGTAGTCATCAAGTAGGAAATCCTTGCTGGAATCGGAATGCAAGTCCGGCCCCTTCGATCTCCACCTGTTCATACACCCACTTTCTGTTACATCTGCAGTCTGCCCCACATTTCTCCGAGCCACACTTGGCACATGGGAAGTGACAGCCTGGACACTCTACGTCAAGACAGTCACACAGGTCACTGCTGTCATCTATGTAACGACCCGTGTCATCATACAACTGGTTCTTCTTAAAGCTAAAACAAACAGGTGTATAGGTTCTCTGTATTTTTGTAATTAAGATGTTGCCAAAAAACTTTTCCTCCTTTGACACCCAAAACAGTTTCATATTCTAATGTTTGTCTATGCCCAGCTTAATATTTGAGGGAGAGAGAGAGAGAGAGAGAGAGAGAGAGAGAGAGAGAGAGAGGGGAAGCACCAAGTAATTTCTCCTAAAGGCTAGCATATAAATATTGTGACTAACATTATAAAGAGAAAGTGCAAATTATGTTCAACAGAGATTTAAAACACTTTTTGAGGTATTATATTTTCTAACAAGCAAAAAAGTGACAGCTTCCAACATAACAACTTATCTAAAACTGAGATATTATTGTTTAGTAATTAACCAAACCATAAAAAAGAACACGATTTTGAAAAATCAAGTCATTTGTAGCTATGACGTATCAAATTGTTCTAGTTGTTACCCTGCCTTAAATGTGTCAGTTGTTACATACTTATCTCTGTATATCCTTCGGTTCATCTTCCTCATTTCTCTAGCACTTTTTTCTGGATCAAAATCCTCCATGAATTTACCAGGATTCACAAACGCCAGCATTCTTAGATGCTTCACTTTGTCCTGAATAGAATAATACCAATGATCCATGTTTATGATCCATGTTTATGAGCTATATATCTAAACACAAAAAACTGTTTGTTTATTCCATGTCAGAAAATGTCAACTTTTGACAGCCCTTTTGCATTCACTTGACTTAAAAAATTGATGATCATAGGCTCTTTGTTACTTTGTATTAACATTAAAAAACCTCATCAAGGGATTAGGACACTAAAATTTTTAAAAAATACGATTGAAAACATCCATGCATCTGCACAATTACTCTACTAAGTTGTAAACTCAGGACGTATACCCAATACAAAGCCCTTTTTTTTTTTGTTCACTCTAGCTCCATGACTGTTAGCGTATAAGGATGCCCCATTATTGGAGAACAGCTATTAATTTTAACATGTTATGAAAAAAAAATTATATAATGTTTTTGACATAAAAGCAAAAAAAAAAGTGATATCCCTTGAATAAATCAATAATAAAAAAAATTAATAAAAATAATAATAATAATAATAAATAATAATAATAATAATAATAATAATAATAACTTACTCCATCTTCACCATCTACCACCATGGGGGAATGTCTGTCCTTTTCACGCTTTCTACAACAGGCCACATGGCACTCTGTACATATCAAACTCTGTCTGCTTGAGATTTCTGTGTTTTCTTTCCCTGGAAACAACTGCCTTATTTCCCTCCAGTACTCGGCAGTGATCACCCTTCTGTTCTCATCGGCAACTTTACCACACACGGCACACAAATTGCTGCTGTCCTACGTAAAAAACTTAAAGATTAGCTTCAATTTGATTTTATGAGTGAAAAAGTGATTGTAAAATTACACAGTTAACTTTTTACATTTAATACAAAACCAAGGGATGGGAAGGAATGGTCATGCAGTGCTAATTACCCGGGACAATTTTTTTATTTCCGGTATGGTGATGTTTCTGGGCTGAGGGATATCTAAAGCACTCCCTTAGGTAGTGCCTACAAGATTTAAAAGATGGCGATTACTTTGATGATATTCTCACGGAAGATGATGTTACAAAGTGCAATAATAAAGTAGATAAAGAGACTGGATACATTGAGTTTTCATCCTCAGAATCTGTGGAAAAGTCAACAACAGAGAGTGATATTAACCATGATCTCTCACGCATGATTCGTTTTAATGAGGCTATGTGGGAATGGTACAGTTTTTATTTAACGGGTATTATTCATCACTACTATAATCAGTTGAATTATAAATAGAAGAAACCTAAATAATAAACAGAAGGACCGTACCTTATCTTTTTATCAGATTTCATTTACTCAAGTGACTTCAAATTTGTCCAAATAAGGGCAAAAATGAAATACTTGTACCCTTTTTAAGGAATACACTGAGATCACAACTGCGCTCACATGAAAGCTTCAAAATATTTTATAAGATTGGCAAAAAATTACATTTTAACTATGCACTTCTGCAGTATGTGACTACTATTTACTACATAGTACTGTAATATTTATATATGATCAGTCAGAAATAATACAAGTACTACAAAGTACCATCATATATGATCAGTCAGAAATAATACAAGTACTACAAAGTACCATCAAAAACCAATTATATAAGAAAGCTCTCAACTTTTATTCAAATAGTATTAAAATTACTGATTACACATGGAGCTATATGGCAAAAAATGTGATGAAATATGTAAAGAATTTTCCTCTGGAAAAAGCAATTTTCTACTACTCAAGAATCATTGCTTGACATTGCTTAACTAGCTATGCAGGATATGTGGATAAAGAAAAATGCAAAAAGTTTCGAATGTGTAACTTAAACAATCATACCTAAAAACTTGGAGAGAGGTAGTGAATTTTGCACTTTGCATTGTTATATGTTACAATGTATATTTGATCAGCACGCTTTTAAGTACTGTACATAAGAAAAACACTACACTAAGCAAAGCAAACAAATATGTGTTCACTTTACATATACTCTTGTATACAGCATTTCTGGAAGTGGTTGTAATTATAGTAAAAATAGCTACTTAAGTCCATAATTATGCAAAATTATGCACTCCATTACAAATAATCACAAAGTAAATAGATAAACATGCAATTTCTAAAAATTAATGTAGATTTTGTAGCTGTACTCATGGTACTATTTCAGAGTTCATATAAATGCATATAAATATACAAACTCGTACACTCTTCCTTTTTTTCCAAGCAAATTTGCGTATACGCCCAATCCTAGATCTACCCATGTTATTTCAGTTCTTTTTGCTCTGAAAAAATTAAGCAAATCAGAACTGAATGAGATGTACCCCAGGATATTAAGTACTTGGCTTGGAGATGATCTAATATCTGTTAGTTTTTTAATAAGATTTTCATCACTTATTTTTTGTTCTAGAACTTAAAAGCTACATTGATTTTATGACTTAATTTATGGGATATATATATATATATATATATATATATATATATATATATATATATATATATATATATATATATATATATATATATATATATATATATATATATATATATAANCATTAACCAATCAAGGTGACATCCACGCGTGGATTGATGCATCAAGTTTCTCATTTCCAATATTACATCAACCCACCAGTGTATTGGTGTCAAAACCTCCTGCTGTTGAAGACCCGGACTCCGACTGACGAGATGCAGAAATGCTTGAGAGATTGGAGTTTTCACCTGTCGATTGATCAGGTAAAATACTCATTCTGCTCTTGTCTGCGTCTACTCTTTACAGTTAGGAGATTTGAAAATGACAACACACCATATATAATACCTTCAAACAAAGAAGAGCGATTTCGAAGGTATCCTACAGAGTCACTTCTACAGTAATTACTTTGATTTTTTATCAATTAAAATGTAGGACGATGTCTAGTGCTTTGATTGATGTTAGTGGTGCGGAAAAGGGTATAGAGGCATTGGATTTGGTTGGACTGGCTGAAGATGTGTACGGTAAGGCTATCACCTTATCAGAAAATTACAAAAAAAAATTACAAAAAAAAAAAAAAAAAGATTAAAATGATCCGTATCATCATCATCAAGGTTCATCAGTTGCATGTTACATGTTTGACATTGCCGCAGTGAATCTAATAATGTATCATTCCATATGCCGCAGACAAATGCCAAACAAGATATTTACTGGTTTTACTGAGTAGTTAACGAAGTTAACGACTAATAATGGTTTACAAGTAAGCTACGCCACAGTGAATGCACAAATTGCTGATGATTGTAACTTATCTTTGTACTGCATGTAGTTTATACCTTCTAAGCTATTGATTTCCATGCTTTTCTTTTAAAATTTGGTACAGTAACTTTGATAAATGTCTCTGTCATTCACATGAATTACAAAGGAAATTAGATTAATGATATTTATAAGTTTTTACAAAAAAAAAAAAAAAAACTTCAATCCTCATCAAATATCTAATGGGAATTCTCTTTCATTGGTGAACATAAAAAAATTGGTACAAACAAATAAAAAAGGAACTTATGGATTTTCAAAAATATCCAAAATTAAACTGAATTTAGAAAACCAACATCAAAAATCAAAATTCTTGTATGTGTTTAAGGTTCGGGCATATTGCACATATGCTGTTACTAGGGCAGGACAAAAGGTACTTCTGTTTTTAGACTCTAGGAAAATAATTAGTAACTAATTATTGCATTTACAGATATCATCAAAGACATTCATGATCCTGAGAAACCAGAGACCTTGGAAGAGTTGAATGTTGTATCAGAGGAGGGAATCACAGTGGAGCCATTTCATAACAATGAGACTTACCTGATAAGAATTCAGTTTACTCCAACTGTGCCTCAGTGCTCCCTTGCAACACTTATAGGTATACATGTACCTTGAGGGCAACACATGCTAAAGAGTGTTATTGGTCATATCCTGCAGTTGTAATACAGTTTTGTAGATTATTTGCCAATTTTATTAAATTTCAATTTTTTTTCTTTTTGTAGGCATTTTAATTTTCAACTATATAATTGTGTGTGTGGGTGTGTATGTTATTTACCAAACGCTCTTCAGTTTGAAGATGGCTGTCAATCTTCTTTCAAGTTTTTGACCATATCATTGAAAAATGTAACTTGTTTGACTACCAGTTGATGTGATTCAGTATTCATGTTAAACAAAATGCCATCTCATTCAAAATTTTCCTTCATTAAACTTTTTATTCATACAGTTTTTACTATTCCTAAGTAAGTGAATAAACAACGGATTACCTATCAAATGTCAGTATATATATTAACCTATATAAAAAAAACTGCACTGCTGTCCTTATAGTGTAAATTAAAATTACTTACACAAATTTTGATTTCAGGACTTTGCATCAGAGTAAAACTTGAGAGGTCACTGCCATATAAACATAAGGTATTTTAATATTTTAAATGTCAGTTTTAGAAACTAATTTCTAATGGCTAATAGATTTTTTGTTTGTTTGTTTAGTGCAACAAAACTCAGTTGCTATGTGTCCAAACTTTCAAGGTTCTGTAACTGATAGCAGTGCTAGATGATTAACATTTTTAAGCAGTTTAATTTTAACTTCTTGTTTTGATTTTTTATACATGGAGGTGTACTGTAAAAAGATAAATCCTATACCAGATTGTTTAAACGTCAATCTGCAATTTGGCAAGATCAGTGATATTTTTTTAGATTTTTACCACCATTATTATTTTTTTATAATTATTAATATCATTATTACAGTTGGACATAGTAATAACTGAAGGCTCTCATTCCACAAGAGAAGACAGTAAGTCCTAAGTTTCTTCGCTTGTTTTAGCAGAAGATAAATTTAAGATATTTAGAAAACTTCTCTTTATTGAATACATTTATGCTATGCTGTGCAGTGTTTGATATAGTACCTTTATTCAAGCTTTGGTCTTGTAATTAGTACATATATTGTGTCAGTGACTGATGCCAGAATACAGCAGATTGTGTTAGATGTGACATTTTTAATGCCATTGATTGTGCTCTCTTCCAGCAATGAAGCAGATTAATGACAAGGAGAGAGTAGCAGCAGCGATGGAGAACCCAAACTTGAAAGAGCTAGTTGAACAGTGCATCAAGGATTCAGATTATTAGCCTTATCCATTGCTTTGACATTGCCATAAACAGTGACTGTATGTGTATGTTTTATGATACCCACTATTTTGTGTTTGTGTGCATGAGAGAGGAGAGAGAGAGAATACTGAAGTAAGAGAAAGAGAGATTGTTAATTATGATATTTCACTGAAGATGAGTGATTTTTAGTTTGCACTGTGCCACCTTTCATGAACAATATACTTAACTCCTCCAATTTTGTCCAGCAGTGGTATAATGTTAATAACAGAACACTGTTTCATTGGACCAAGTATGATGAAAGTATGGTGAATTATAGTATCTTGTGCAATTTTTAATAGAAAGTTTTAACTTGTTGGCTTTGCCTGCCTGAAATTGATTTTTCACCAAGAAATTGTTAATTTTGATAAGCATATTATGTTTTTGGTGTTTTGACTACAAAGGTATATCAAGGTTGTGAAGGGCAAACAGTAATGCATGATATTGTTGCATATTGTATCCATTGATTTTATTTTAAAATCATGAAGCTAAGTTAAGTATATTGAGGTAATGTTTTCAAAGAACTATTGAAAATTATCTGTTTAAATGTAGAGATAGGAACATTATGCCTGTAAAATAACTCTCTCTACCAGAGTCTAGCTGAGTGATAATGTCAATTCTGGGCAAAAATTCCTACTGGTCACAGTACAGAAATGTGCACAGAGGTACCCAAAGGAATTGTCTGTAAATATCTAGTGCAAAATCAATCTGTAGCCCAGGTTCTTTAGATTAATTTAAAATGGGAACTTAAAGTTTAACCTTTATGCCTATGCTGGGGCTAACTTTACGCCAAGATATTTACACTAAAGAAAATCTAAGCAGTTAGCTTATGACAAAAGTTCAACATACTCATTAAAGATAAGATAACATATTTTTGTTTGAACTCTTTATTGTTTGAACTCTTTTTTGTTCTGTCAATTTTGAAAAAAAACATGAATTGCAAACTACAAAAAAAAAACTTAATTTAGAGTCAAAGAAAAGTTTCGGTTTGTTAAAATTCAGTGGGAGGCACCCCACTAGATAAGGTGTTCAGGAGGGATTCTATGGGTATGCAGGTCCAAGACCAGCATTGGTGTCTCTGGATTCCTGGCCTTCCTCCATCAACTCCCTCTGCAGCTCTCTTGGATCCATGGTAAGACCTGTAACATCAAGATTTTCAATGTTCACAACAGCGTGTGTTTGAGTGTGCTCACACACTGTGTGTGTGTGTGTGTGTGTGTGTGCGTGCAACATGAACATCTTATTTTTCACCACAGCTACACAGGTATATAAGAAAAATTAGGTTACGTGTTTTGCCTTAAATCCGAATTATGGGGAAGCAACTCGTATCATCTTCATTATAAATCGTAGTTATTTTTTCTTTATTTAAATTAGTGTATTCGTTATTACTTTCAAGCTTAATCATGCAAGTGCAATGCAGAAACTCGTGTATAATGACTCGTTTATGTTTTATTTCTTTTCTTTGTATGAGCGACACTGACCAAGTTTCTTTATTGCTGCCATTTCCATTCTCAGCTCCATTGCTTCGTTTTCTTCGACCTCTTTTCCTCCTTCATCTGTAAGATAATTCCACTGGAAATGTTTCAATTTTTCTTCGCAATTCTGATGTAAATTGGTCATCACCGCAGTTTTAAAAACATATATACAGTATACCAGTACCTTAGTACATATAACGAACTGAATCGCAAAGCCCCGATCACGTCTAGTAACAAAAATGTTGTAAGACTTCGCAAAAACGATTGATCTGTCATATATGCGAGGCCTGTTGTATTTCAATTATCAGTTTAATTGTTAACAGGACATTGAACCACATCATTTGGTGAAATATCTCTCATTTTTTGTAATTTAGCAACAAGGAAATGCCAGTCATATTTCTCTTGCTTGGCACCAGGAAAACTGTTTGTGCAACTCGATAAGCAACGTTTGTGAGACCAACAGTATAGTTTGAAAATTAGATATCAGTGACTTTTAAAGGCCTAATGTTAAACGCAATAAAAACGGGATATAGAATTTCACTCTTCCTCTGTGAAAAAAAGACGGGAAAATAAAAAGTTTTAATTTGCCATTTCCACTTGGCGTCACAAAGGAGTTTATCACAAAATGATTCCGTTTTTTTTTTTTTTTTTTTTTTTAGGGGGGGGGTATTATTTTTCCAAACGTTTCCATCTTCAGTTCGAAACTATTAAGACTTACCTTTGAGTTCAGACATTTCGTTATCGGTCTCTGTGTCGTTGCGTCCTAGAAGGGTACACAAGGATAAACAATTCAAAGTCCAAATAGACGTCACAGAAATAATTTCACAATTTAAACATCAGAAACCTGTCGTAATGCAGAACTATAAAGAAATCATTCTACCCAAGCAAGCCCCGTATTAAATATTTCACCAGCTTTTACATGTAATAGTGTCAGTTCGTCTTTCAACATGTTGCTGAGGTTATGTATCAGATCTGTACAGTGCTATACTGCATTGATCGCATGTACCGCCTTTGTTCTTGTACAGAGGGCCAAGAAAGACAACAGATATTACAGTTAAACTTACCGTTCACCCTCTCGTTCTCTGGTTCGTATGAGGTCTGCGGTCCGCCAGCGTTACCTGTGGTGTCCACTCGCGATGGAACAATGCGGAGTTGCTGACGAACTGGAATATAGAAGATGTTTTCAGGCATCCTCCCCCAAATTTTCATCTAAAATTTTTATGAATGATGACCAACATCTCATTTCTGTCTGAAGAAAATTTGGTTTATTTAATGATTATTGAGTAGATTGCTTATCCTGGATCTGTCCTTATTCATTGGTTTTACATGTCTTGTATTTTTGGCAAGTGTAACGCTGTTGCATAAAACAAAAATGGATAATATAAGAATATAATCTTAGTCAACATACCGTACTGGGCGCTTCCCAACGCCACCTAAAATATAATGATTTAACAGCCATTTAGTATCATATTCTTTGAGCATTTTAATTGCAGTTATTGATTAAAAAGTTATTCTACCTTTTCACTAAAAGTTGAACATCAAAGATTTTTTTTTTGGGGGGGGGGATATTACCAGATTTCCAAACTTTCCAAAAGAGTGGTAGGTCTTACTTTTGGATGACCGTAACAGGACCCATGAATGTGCAACTACACGTGTAATAAATAAAGAAAAATAATAATCAAACTTTAATTTCTAGGAAATAGAACTAGCAAATATCGAAAAACTTCTATTCTTTGCATTGTTACATACTACTTCGCTACACTATCAAAATTGTATGGAATCTCATCTACAGTGATTGAAAAAAAACTTTTTTCCCAAATGTGACCTACAATTAATATCAAATATAAAACACAAGTAAACCGCATACGTACCATGAGAAAGACCGAGCAAAGTAGGATTATCCCCTTCATAGTAGTTTTTGCAGCTGCCAACTTAGATGCGTCTCTTCCAGATATGTGCCAACGAGTGAAATGCACGGTGGCTTTACGCAGTGCTTAATATACCCGGCTTGCATGTTGAGCCCCACAACTCATGACTTAGACAATGTCATTCCCTTAACGCGTGGAGTAACAGTTAATCTGTCATTACGATGGCCCATATGTTTCCAAATTGTTAGTGCTAGGTGCTCTATTGTTGCCCAGTTATGAATTTGTCATAATTTTNAAGCAACGTTTGTGAGACCAACAGTATAGTTTGAAAATTAGATATCAGTGACTTTTAAAGGCCTAATGTTAAACGCAATAAAAACGGGATATAGAATTTCACTCTATTTTCCTCTGTGAAAAAAAGACGGGAAAATAAAAAGTTTTAATTTGCCATTTCCACTTGGCGTCACAAAGGAGTTTATCACAAAATGATTCCGTTTTTTTTTTTTTTTTTTTTTTTAGGGGGGGGGTATTATTTTTCCAAACGTTTCCATCTTCAGTTCGAAACTATTAAGACTTACCTTTGAGTTCAGACATTTCGTTATCGGTCTCTGTGTCGTTGCGTCCTAGAAGGGTACACAAGGATAAACAATTCAAAGTCCAAATAGACGTCACAGAAATAATTTCACAATTTAAACATCAGAAACCTGTCGTAATGCAGAACTATAAAGAAATCATTCTACCCAAGCAAGCCCCGTATTAAATATTTCACCAGCTTTTACATGTAATAGTGTCAGTTCGTCTTTCAACATGTTGCTGAGGTTATGTATCAGATCTGTACAGTGCTATACTGCATTGATCGCATGTACCGCCTTTGTTCTTGTACAGAGGGCCAAGAAAGACAACAGATATTACAGTTAAACTTACCGTTCACCCTCTCGTTCTCTGGTTCGTATGAGGTCTGCGGTCCGCCAGCGTTACCTGTGGTGTCCACTCGCGATGGAACAATGCGGAGTTGCTGACGAACTGGAATATAGAAGATGTTTTCAGGCATCCTCCCCCAAATTTTCATCTAAAATTTTTATGAATGATGACCAACATCTCATTTCTGTCTGAAGAAAATTTGGTTTATTTAATGATTATTGAGTAGATTGCTTATCCTGGATCTGTCCTTATTCATTGGTTTTACATGTCTTGTATTTTTGGCAAGTGTAACGCTGTTGCATAAAATAAAAATGGATAATATAAGAATATAATCTTAGTCAACATACCGTACTGGGCGCTTCCCAACGCCACCTAAAATATAATGATTTAACAGCCATTTAGTATCATATTCTTTGAGCATTTTAATTGCAGTTATTGATTAAAAAGTTATTCTACCTTTTCACTAAAAGTTGAACATCAAAGATTTTTTTTTTGGGGGGGGGGATATTACCAGATTTCCAAACTTTCCAAAAGAGTGGTAGGTCTTACTTTTGGATGACCGTAACAGGACCCATGAATGTGCAACTACACGTGTAATAAATAAAGAAAAATAATAATCAAACTTTAATTTCTAGGAAATAGAACTAGCAAATATCGAAAAACTTCTATTCTTTGCATTGTTACATACTACTTCGCTACACTATCAAAATTGTATGGAATCTCATCTACAGTGATTGAAAAAAAACTTTTTTCCCAAATGTGACCTACAATTAATATCAAATATAAAACACAAGTAAACCGCATACGTACCATGAGAAAGACCGAGCAAAGTAGGATTATCCCCTTCATAGTAGTTTTTGCAGCTGCCAACTTAGATGCGTCTCTTCCAGATATGTGCCAACGAGTGAAATGCACGGTGGCTTTACGCAGTGCTTAATATACCCGGCTTGCATGTTGAGCCCCACAACTCATGACTTAGACAATGTCATTCCCTTAACGCGTGGAGTAACAGTTAATCTGTCATTACGATGGCCCATATGTTTCCAAATTGTTAGTGCTAGGTGCTCTATTGTTGCCCAGTTATGAATTTGTCATAATTTTCTTTTGAAGTTATTGCATCAAAGAAAACATTTCATATATACATTTGCTTAAATGCGTAAAACATAATGAGTGCCGTTTTAAGTGTTCGTTTTTTATAGAAAAAGCTTTATTTAATTAAAAACATTACTAGAAAAGCACTCAGAGAGCGCAGACCTCCGCCAAGGCAGCGAAGTCTCCATCCAATGCCGTTTCACCCCTAAATTTTCATTCTATAATGATTAGTTTTTTATTTTTGATTATTGATTATTGATCCGGATCACCACCAAAAAAGTAATCATCTGTTCCTTGGCCCACCTCTGACATTTTCTGAAAATTTCATCAAAATCGGTCCATAACTTTTTGAGTTAGGCCTATGTTTATGACAGACAGACAAACAAACAAACAAACAGGGGTGAAAACATAATTTCCTTGAGGGAGGTAATAATAGATTTGCCCCAGTGTTCACGTGAAGAGTTTTGATTTCGGTAGAAAGAGTTTTGGTATAATTTTTCTACATTTCGTAGATGCATTTGCAGTACTGTACCAAGGTAGAATGTTTATGAGAGTCGTTTTGAAAAACATAACAAGTTCGTTTTAGCAGGCTAAAAAGGTTTGTTGTTGTCTCTTCTATCTTCTAAACTTAACAAAGACGTGGTGAGGAATTATCATGCACGGTCACTACTGCAGTTCAACAATTCTTGCAGACAACTGCATGGTTTTCTACCATATTGTAGCACTGTGTCGGTAGGTACATACTCAATAGCAATAAAGACCAAAAAATGAAATAAACCACTCGAGCGAGGGCTAGCAAAGATAGTTCACACCTTGAATTGACCTGGCGTAACCTCCCGCATGTTTACGTCGTATTTCTCAAGGGAGTTGATACTTTTTTTTCACTCTCTTCTCTTTTGGGAAAAATTTTTTTTCTTTTTTTGGGAAGACAAATAATGTTTTCACCAACTAAGTACGAGACTGCTGCCCACATGGCCAAGAAAGTTTTATATAACATGTGTTGGGATTAACAAAAAGTTCGCGGGATAAAAGAAGCACCATGATCACATGAACCAGAAAATAATTCCGTTTTCAGAATCGGAGCAAAGATTTCGCATGATTGCCTCTATCCAAGTTGATGACGATAATTTCAATCATACAACTTAGGCCACATACCATTTTGGACAAAGTGTGTTGAAATTCCTGAAGAATTTCTAAAGGGTTTACAATACCCTGTTTGTACTCTCTGTGGTGAGAACATAGGGACCTGTCTGGCCTAAATAGTGCATGGTGCTAGGGTGTCACTAAAGGTGAATACAATTATCATATGTCACACATATCAGGAAATACATTGAAAAGGTATATTGATAGAAGACGTTTAGACTTATAAAGAAAGAGACAAAGATCGCTTGCATTTTGATCATCTTTTTTTTCTTTCTGAGCTTGCAGTTGACACTTCGAAATACTTCATTCCATCACTCGTATTTGGACTGATTTGTTAATAAGCACCAAATGAATTTACAGGAGTCAAAACAGCAATTACCCAGTAGCAATACGCATTGTACTCTGAAATTTCATCCATTTATAATGTTTTTTTTTAATTTTGAGTTTTTAAAATCTTATATTCGGCGCGTATTTTAATTTTTTTAATCCACTTCCACATCACTTAATATTTTCCCCTTAATCTCGAAGGTAGACCTAGTATTTTTCTTTTTTTCTTTTTTATTTACGTACAAAGACAACAAATTAGCTCCAGCCTCCATATTCATTGAAAGAGTATTAAAAGTTAAAAACGGGTACATATTTTAAAAATTTTCACATTTTTTTGATATGGTATTCCTTGGCGATTAAGGGAAAGTGTTAGTGGTTTAAGGAAAATTAGAAATTTGTTCTAACTTTCATGTGCCTTTCAGATTGTTTACCTCAGGAGGTCAATCGACTTTAGGAATTCATGATTTTTTTTTTTAAGAAGTAGAGGATTAAAAGAATACCCCAAATACCATGCACCGCAAGAAGGTAGTAGAGAAAGAAGTTCATTAATCGAGACAATGAGTATAAAGAAAGAAAGAAAGGAAGAAAGAAGAAACGACCATTACACGAGCCAGATGTAAGGAGGTGTAGCCATGTAAAGGATTAAAAACACTTATCATTTGCGTGATCCGTCTGATTCGTCAGAAAACAAGATTTATGGATCATTGGCACGAATAGGCAAACCATGACCATAGCTGTAAGCAGAAAATTCCAGCCACGTGAAGGAACAAGCGCACTTATTATTTGAAGCGTCCCGACGGGAAATACGAAAAAAAACTGAAACTTGAATTTTAAAGTGAACATTTATCACACGTGCATCGATAGGTGTGTCTTTGTGTGTGCGTATGTGTAAAATAACCATTGTTGCGAACGCATCCAGTGCAGAGGTGTAAATGCCGTTAAGGTTAAAGGGTAAATGTGGACAATAAACATGACCCAAGGTTTCAAGGACACGACTGACTTAAATTGATGCATTCTAAATGGGATGGCCATGAGAAAAACACTTACTCATTTTGTTATTTGAAGTTTACATTTATCTTTTAAATTTTACAAAAGACACACTTCCTTAAAAAATTCATCGTCAATCTCAGTGGCATCAACTTTTTTACATTTGACTGGATGGTTTTGGCAGACAAAATGAAGCCCAATAGAATCGAATACGGCTTATGTACCTAATATCAACCATTTAGGATTTTCAATAATAGCATAATTTTTTTCTCAAAATACTTATGATGATGTTTTTTATTATAATATATCAAAATTTTCCAATGTAAAATTTAACAATTATGTATCTCAACTGAAAAGTCATTGTCAACACAAACACATTTGAATTCCTTCACATCACAGACACACGCACCAAAGAGCAAGAATGATTTGAATCCATCCAGTTAACGCGTGAAACGTCTCTGTATATCTCCATCAAATGCCAGTACAATCCCTTTAATGTTTATTTCAGAGGCTTATGCCAGGCCACCTTCCAAAATTCAAGCAGTAACAATATAATAATTTAGACACATGGCTCGCTCAAACTTGTAGTTTGTCTCAGATACACTGACTCTTAATGCGCTGAGTTGCAGATTCAAATACTGTCTTTATAAAAAATGTGTAAGTAGACAAAAAAATGCGCCACAAAAATAAATTTAAAAAAACGTTTTAAAAGCAGACGCTACCTTTAATCTCCCAACCATTCCATTTGCCTTCCATTTGTTGATATGAATAACCATTACATTCCTTGTGATATAATAAAATTATTGTCTATAATTATGACTAAGTACTATACTGAACTAGGTAAAAATTATGTAGCAAATTTTGGCGTAGTATGAATTCTTGAAATTAAAAGTCTATGATGTCAATGCATGTAGCGTGGCATATTATTGCATACCGAAAAAATAAATATTAGAGAATTATCAATAGGAATAAAAATATTTAAGTAGGAGTTTTCTACAGTGTTTGTAACGGATCCTGTGGCAAGCTGGGCAGTGCCAGGAGTGCCAAGCGCCAAGGGACACTTTCTTCAAACCATATATCTATTCTGTCTGGATGTGGACTTGAACGAGCTACAAGTCAGTTTTTTAATGACTCTTAGGTTTTGTTGCTATTCGTTCATGTTCATATTCAGAATAGATGGGTTATGGGTGTTCTATTCTCAGATTCATGATGACCTTTCTAGAATTCAGAATTTCGTAATTTCTTTCTTTACTTGATCAACGCCAAGTCGTTTTTCTAGCACAGCGGGTTGTGCTGTACAGGACTAGGTGTTGAGAATGTTTTTTCGTTTTCAGAGGCTGTGAAAGCTGGAAAGGTCTAACCTCTAAACGAAAGAAGCAAATTCTTCCTACCTAGTTATGCAGAGATAACGCTTTTTCAATCAATCTGTTCTGATTTTCTGTCCGTTGAACAGTTATTTCAACTGTTTATAGTTCGAATGATTTATTTTCATTGCAAGCATTTGGCATTTGGTGTTAAAATATTTAAACCCCCTTCTTTTATGAATTTTTTTGGCTCCAGCGTTATTTACATCTACCTCAAAGAAGGAAGAAAAGAGTTTAAAAAGTTACGACATCTGCGTGGCCGATGATTAATTGGTTTTCCTCGGCTAGACGAGATTTTGTAGCTGATAGGATGCGGATGAATGACTCGTCAGCCCTTTCATCCAGTACAGTTTTAAAGTGTAAGTATTACCCGAATTAATTTATATAGTATTGTCTATTGTCCTGACATAAGATAATTCTTTCTGAAATAGTACTAAATAACGAACGGATCACGCAATCAAATTATCAAAATAAATAACTACAATAAATTAACTGATAAACGTATGGTTCGCCCTTTGTTTCGACTCGTGCTTGATTGTGAATTATTTTATTCATGCACAAGCAAATGCTTGGAATGAACATTTTTAGGAAAAGTATCTTCCGCCTTTTCTACTTTCATTACTCCTTGTACCCCTCCCCCCATTTTTCTGTTGTGGTTTGAAAAAGATTTATAATGGCAAAATTTAAAAAAATGTACATATTTGCATATTTTGTCACATTGGCGTATTTTTCGCTGGTACCATTAGGTTCTAGAGAGAGCATGCCATGGAAAGGTGACATGGATCTAAAAAAAAGCACGATGATATGACTGTATTGCTGAAAACTTTAATCCATTTCAAACTGGTGAAATCTTTTAAAATCCTCAAGTCACTTGTACTTCGGTGGTGGTGGTGTCAGTCTGTTCAAGGATCTACCATACGATGGTGAATACATTTTCCATGACGTGAAAACAAACTCGTTAAACGTGCCCTAATCTTTGTTTCTCTACATACCATGATGCTCAGAAGTTAAGTAACTATTTTTCATTTCTCAGTTTCCACGTCTTTGATCAGAGTGGTCTCCGTACAGTAGCAGTTCACGTCCTTAGGCTGAAGCATGCGATAATTATGCACTGTCCAACTTAGTAAAATATGGATGGAGGTACCGCTAACCGCTAACGAAAAAAACAGTTAGGGCGTGCCAAGTGAAACACACGTTTGGATGCTTCTGATATTATTATTATTATTATTATTATTATTATTATTATTATTATTATTATGTTAGCCCATCCATCGGAACCACCGCTGTTGTTAACATGCATTGTTGTAGGCCTAATGTACCAATGCCGAGATGTGATGTGAAACTTAACTCCATGGGTACCTTTTTTAGCAAAATGACGCCAAACGAACCATGGGAAAGACCTCTTTCTGATCGACCCAGATTGACAAATGTAAGGGACATTAGACTTCTGCTCAAACTTAGCCATAAAGATTCGCTTCATGTCGGCAAAACAACCTGGCCTGGATTTCGTAGTGTTCCAGTCCAAATCTTGATTAGTTGTACAGAACCATACATTAATAATGCAAATCCCGGACGAAACATTATCTTGGTGCAGGACACTACTGTGCCTGCCTACAAAACAGGCGTTTTGCAAGACGCGATGCAACAGCATGGTATCCCCCAAATCAATTGTCCTGCCAGGTGTTGCTTAACTTTTGAGCATCAGTGTAGAGAAGCTCTTTAGTTGTAATAAAGGGAATTTTGTGTTACATACATTATCAATTTGACTAATAAACAAATCTGCTCTAGCACGTTATGGTTATTCTGTACGCGATTTGAACGTTTTTTCCCCTTTTAAATAGTGACCTTACATGCATAAAGGCAGGCATAAAAACATGCATAGCTGGATTTTCATGGGGCTGATAGCTTTGATGCACCAAAGTAAGTAAAGAGAACGAACAACATCTGATTTATTTTTGTTAGTATTTATTTATTTATTTATTTATTTATTTATTTATTTATTTATTTATTTATTTAAGCAATTCCTCATGGAAAACAAGTGACTTGTGTATCAACACGTAAAATGTAGCTATTATTGAAAATGAAGGTACTGTTTGCGTTAATTATCATCGGCAAAAATCTAAGATAAAACAGTTTCATTTAATTTGTAAATAACTAAATTGAATAATATTCATAAAAATTAGCTCCATAACTTTCGATATCATGTTGACGGTTTCGCCTACATCTTAACTAGTTTGCCAACGAAGAATGAGTTACAGTCACATTGTATTTCACGACAGTGACATATAATTGTCAAGCCAGACAGGTTTCCTAAAAACAATAACATGTAGGTAACCGACCCATACACATTGGTGCCTAGTCTTTAAATTTCCCCTCCTTGTAATGCGCAAACTGACTCCAGTGACAGACTCAGAAAACCAGAGAGACCATGAAAACACCAATGTGCAGCTACGAAAGGAATACATCATATAGAGATTAAAAAGTCGAAGGTAATAAATACCTAAAGGAAAATAAGAGCACCGAGTAAAAAAAGGCCAGTTCGCAATTCCTATATCAGATGAATATCAGAAAGGTAAAGAATGACATGAATAAGTATCATACTTAGAGTGATGCTCAGATTCAGAAGCCTACTTTTACATCCAAAGGCCAAAATAGAAAACAAAAACGAATATGGGATAGTAGATGAAATAGATTGTGGCAGTTGTGATGGGCTGTATGAGAGACTGGGGTAGTACGAACAAGATTTTGAGAACAAGATAAAGATATAGAAAAAACAAAAGGCAGGGAATCAACGCGCGCTAAGAAAAGGGGGTTGGCTTCACACGGGGATTTTACGTTCATTTACAGACCATATTTTACAAAATCCATATGCCAAACTGGGTTAGCCAATTCTTAGCAAAAGAGAAATTCTATCAAAATAGGAAAATGCCGGAATCTACTCTGTATATGGATAGAAACACAAAATGAATTACCTTCTACCAGGGCGACGGATTGATTTTCCACAGATATTCACAGATATGTCTATAGATATATAGACAGTCATTTTGGCTTTCAGATTCACCAAAAATGTCCCCAATAATAACTGCAGCCCTGGTTTTGGGTAACAATTAATTTAGGCGAGGTTGCCCCTAAACTTTCACACATATACTCGAGGCCTACATGTATATTGAGTTATTATTAATCCCACTGTCACGGTCCAATGTCATTTTTATAGATTGATGTTGACACTTCTTGATTTTAACCGTAAGATATGGTGGTAATTGAGCAATTGGACATAAAATCGATGAAGGCAAACTAAAAATTTTATGAAAAGAATGCAAAACTGTTTCGAACGTTTTTGTTTTTCTTCCAGAAAACTATACTTCTTCGGTGTTTACATCATCACCAACTTCCATAAAGAGAAAAGAACAATATATCTTAATTTTGAAATTCCAGTTTTCATTTAATAGCTCTCAGAAAACTGAGTCTAACGGCGTGGTACTTGAGTGTTCAAGACGCTCCACACCTACCACAGGAGTAACAATAGAGGGTTAAGCACTCACTCCATGAGACAAAAGAAGTAGAGATTGACAGTCAAATCGGTAGACAGCTTCAGAAAACTGAGTCTAACGGCGTGGTACTTGAGTGTTCAAGACGCTCCACACCTACCACAGGATTAACAATAGAGGGTTAAGTACTCACTCCATGAGACAAAAGAAGTAGAGATTGACAGTCAAATCGGTAGACAGCTTCAGTTATGATGAGATGAGATTTATACGTAACCGTCGACAAGATTACAAAAGGTATGGTTCTCATCTTCATAAATATTGTTAAATGTGTGAATATCATGACAGGTGAGACGGTAATATGGCTAAATCCAGCGTTATTTACATTTACCGGTACCAAAGACATGGTCCCAGAACGTTGAGAGGGCAATATGGCTAAATGCAGACAAATGTTGCCAATGGGTTGCACTCTTGGGTAACATTGTCTTTTTGAATCTGCATTTGGCCATGTCGTCGGCTGTATTTTCCTCATACCGGCCATTGTTTGTTACTGTGCACCGAATAACTTTTAAAGATTCACAAGACTGGGGGTGGCACGACAAACTATAAATGAACTACACAAAAAAAAACCCCGAATCTGTGGGGGTGAAATAAATACTGCATCATTTGCATGAATAGTGCTCATGATGACACGGGAGTCCCTTCGGTAAAACCTGCTTTGCAGTTTATATGTCGCGTAGCAAGTGATGGGTTTTCGAGGTTTTCTGCCAAGTACACTGTAAAGAGTTTCATAGACCGTGCAGCAACCTTTTGGCTGTCAGGTTACTATTATAGTGAAGGTACGGGGGTTCACAAACCAACAACAAGAGATCAAGTAATGTCTTATTCTACAGGGAAAGCTGATACAGATTCATACGGGTTTTACGGTAAAATCTCTCTCTCTCTCTCTCTCTCTCTCTCTCTCTCACACACACACACACACACACACACACACACACACGCGCGCGCACGCACGCACAATGTGTAGATCACTGCAGTGGACACCTATCGAACGATTTAGCTTTATTGTCTCAAACAAATCAGCAATGTCTTTGAGATAACGAACACTATGAAATGGCAGTCTAAGCATATTGCAGTAGTGGCGACTGTCCAAAAAGGACATAGATGTGGCATTCATTTACCTTGTAAATATGACTGAAATCGAAAATGCAATCTATGTATTTGCAATGTTTCCGTGATATAACGCCAGAAAGCTGGACTTATTTTGCTCTTGAACCTCGACAAAAAATCAGGATTCGAACTTGTTTTCAACTTTTACAAGTCCAATGTTGAATTAGTATAACAAAGACAGTAAAATTAATATCACATTCCGTGAAAGTTGCAATGATAATTGTACACCAGAAATTCGGCAATTTTTTTCTATGTAATCTGTGCGATCTAAACGCTTCTTTGTGAGATACATGTACTTTAGCTCTCTGCATTTTCAGTTATCGACGCGGGAACCGCTAAATTCCCGCTTCCTGCGTCGATTTTTGAAGCGGTTTTGGTTGTTACGGGCATCATAAAATTTACCTGATGATTGGTTTTCTTATATTCCTTAGACCTCAAGAGCGCATAATCACGTCGATTATTTTTTCCTTGTAATTTTCATTTTTTTTTTCGATCTTACAACAGTACAAAAATTAAACTACTAATAATTGTAATCGGGAAAAGAAATCTGCATGCGATAAGAAAGAGAGAGGTTGGCGAGGATTCCTTATAAAACGACATTTCATAACAAATATGTACATTGTGACAAACTATCTATGCGCCAATACTTCAAGAAGCCCTTGGTTCGGTGGATACCGTTTGGGAACACGCCAAAACATTGCATAATGAAACAGAAGTCACAAGTGGCCTCTAAATATACGAAGAGGGTGTAGGGCCGATTGATATATAATTAGTAGGACATCCTTTATTTGATTTAACAAAATCGTAAAGGTACAAGGTGTCACCAAGGAAGCGGTCACATAATGGGGAATCACCCTGGTTTACCGGGATCTGTTTCTCAAAAAGAACTTCTTTATCCTGAAAATGGGTGTAAACTTTCAGACTGAAATATTGATCTACGTCTACCCGAGAAAACATATTAGAAATAGTAAAAAAAAACTGGCTGTTTGTTACTTTTTAAGTCGACTTCTATTGATTTATCTCGAAATGAAGTTTAACTTTTTTTTTTGGGGGGGGGGGGCGAATCTAAAAGTTTAGACCTATTATCGGGCTAAAGTTGTTTTGTTAAAACGCCCCGATGCCGCGCGTTTTCCGGTCACACAGGTAGCAATGTATTTTCTTATCATCAAAACTGATCCCAATCTGTTATGCACTGGTTCTGTGCAAACAATGAAATAAATAAATAAATAAAACATCTGATTACTCTGTGTTTACAAGGTGTGTCTAGTAATCTCTTTAGCCGAATTAAACACAGACATCACGGTCGCCTAGATGCAATGGATTCACCGATGACTTATCAAAAATGTGACGACAGACAGCCGTTGCATACACTCATGAAATTCGTGTTCATTCGGTTTATATTTGACTTGAATAACAGATAAAATTTGGATTATCTTTGATAAACTTTTATTTAATTGATCAGAGGCGTCTGGTTAAATTCACACGTGCTTTGTAACGTTTAATTTGAGATATAACTATTTGTCTATATAATTAGTCAGAAGAACGCGCCCTCTATTATGAGGTTTCTGTGGACAAATGGTCACCGAACTCTGTCAAATTTTCGGGTTCAGCAATCGTTGCTAACCCTTTCTTAAAACGCGCCACCTAACATATCTCAAAGAAAAAAAATTAGATATACGTGTTTCTATCAAATGCACAGGAGACACTAGCCTGAAATGAATGCTTCGCTGGAGTATTAGGCATCTGACTGGAAAAAAATGAAGCGGAACACGCTGTTTAAGCAAACAATAATTCGTCAGTACGGACCACGTGACGGGATTCTATCTATGACGCGTTCACACTGTTAAATACAACATAAGAGATCCTGCAATGCGCATATTTATCTAGATCGGATAGCAAACGCACAGGTGCAAATTCTATTAAGCAGACCATTTTTACGATACAATTCCAAGCTAAACTATTCTTAAAAACAATTATTGTAGAAAGCTGACTAGCGAAACGCTTTAGTGAAGAAAAGCGTGTGAAAACAGAGCAAAACGGGCGCAAATCGCTTCTTTAAGCTGAAACCAGCCGAGTGAAGGTAAGGGTTGTTATGGTTGTCAAACAAGATTTAAACCGATTAAGGTGCCTAAAATACCTCCGAACTCAACTTAAGTTACTTTAAAGGGTGTAAAGCTTGACCTGTATAAATATCAAACTTTAAACTTGAGTATCAATATCATTCGTTCAGGCTGCTAAAATATTCCGTAAAAACAGAAGTGACTCCTTCTAACTCAGCGCGGTGGGATAAATTCACTAAAGGTAAATATGTTTCGTGTTCTCGGAATGCTTAGGATCGCTTGTCATTTCAAGTTCATATCTAGAAAAAAATGATTTGAGGTAAACCAAGCTTGATTTAATTTGAATCATCTCTAACAATTTTAGCAAGAAGAGAATGGTGCAGCGCAGCGTGCTCGTCGTTCTCGTGCTGTTTGGCGTCGCCTTCAGCAGTGGTCAAGAATTTAAATGGAAATACATTGAGCAGCTGCGGTGGAAACTCCAACAGCTCGAAAGACTACATCAGCTGAGCAAGGCAATTGACGAGGTGGCGCCCTTCAGAATCTCCGGTTATATCTTAACCACATCAACTACTGGTAACGCAAGAGCCCAGGAATTCCCCAGGGAAGATCCCGACGCAACAGCCAAGCGCACAACACAAACTTTGCCCCCCTCAACAGTCAAACCAACGCCAACAACAACAACAGTAACATTAAAGAGAACGCCCATGGAGGTCGCTCCGGGGTCCACCTATAACGTTCAAGTGGCAAGTAGATTGCGCAGGCCGGCTGTGATGGATGATGTAGGACCGTACGATTATGAACCCGGATGGCGGGGAGGAAGGAGGGGTAGGGACGTTGACTTTGTGCTCAACGACGAGGAGGGGTGGTAAGAATCAGAGTTGAAAGAGAACTGATGCAGCAACAACCCGCTCAGCAGGCATTTAGGAAATTGGATCCAAATTTTTATTATAACTATGAAGTATTGCTTTATTTATTCATTTATCCTTTTCTGATACGAGTACGTTTTTCACAATGACTATGACCTTACTATTTACATTTATATTTTAACTACAATAACAATTTACAAAGAGAAATGTTTATTTTATTAGGCCATTAACTTCATTTATTTGCTTGTTTTTGAAAAGTTGCATTTGTTGAAGACATTTTTAATGATGAATCTTAAGGTCAGCGATTCTATTTTTACAAGATCTACTCATTAAATTGCCAATATTTATTTAAAAGCTCGGCGCCTTGCCATTTTAGGTCTTGTTGATTAGATTATGAAACCTTAACACGTGTGCCGCTCCTTAATATGAATATGGAATATGACTATTGTTGAAACCGAAACTTAGATTAGAAATAATTAAAACACGATTGTCCTTGTTGTTTCTCACTGGCTACATTTCATTTGTTTAGGCTGACGTGCAAAATTCCAGGTTTTAAACATATAATCATTTTTCCCTTTTTCTCTCTACAATATAATTCTGTTTTTATGATGCAACAATATTGTTTTTAGAACTCATAGAATGGATAAAAGCAAGCAAGAGTGACCTATGATATAAATTAAAGTGAATGTTGAATTTTGAAATATTGATGTTCAAACTCATTTTTTTCTTAGATACACTAAGATACATACGTATTGCCC